CCAGAAGGCCAGGTTTTAGATTTTGTGACTGCTCAGTAGTCCCCAGAGTACAATATACACAGCTCTTCTCATCCTGTTCATGCTTCCACAAAGAACCTCCCCTGAGTGCAGTACACATCCATCGGGACTAAAAAGAACATGGAAGCCTTGTGAACTGGCTTCAGGGAATTTGACCTGAGAGTGTGTGATGGTTATTCAGAAGACACATGAAGTTTGTGTAGTGTTTCTAGTCAGATTAGAGCCTGAGAGAGTTCTGGAAGAAGAAATAGGTTAAATAACTTCCGTCCATGTCTGTAGACAGTGATAGAGCTGGAATTGCATAGTGTTGCCTAGGTACATGGAGAAGGTTTGTGCCTCAGTCAGTCAGGGCAGGTCAGCTGGCACAGGAGTATTCTGTGATGAATTGTTTGGGGTGAGAAGTCAAGGACTGTTGGGAGATGATTCTATTGCTGAATGTGGTCCAAATATTTTGTATATAAGTTCTCAAATAACTTGGTATCTTTTTTAAAAACTTAAATTTAAATTTACTCAGGTACAGGACTGGAGGAAAATGTCATTGCCTAGAGCTAAAGAGGATGCTGTCCACTGGGGAGAAAGAGTCATGTTTATAGGGTAGGCAAAAAGAATGATGTTGTGCTTGTAGCCAAGTGCACAGCTGGCCAGAAGGAGAGAATATACTATAGCAGGTACCAGAACCAAAAGAGAACCAGAAAGCAGTGATAGCCTAAAGGTTTCTTTCCTGCTTGTCGGGGGATATGCTGAGCATCTATAGAAGCAGCATCCAGAAGGAGTAAGATCATGGGTTTCAGTTTCAATTAAAGATTAATAATGAGAATTCTGGTAGAGAAAAGGAAAGTAAATATGGCAGAGTCTTGGAAGGAAGCTGAGATTAAGAATGGTCAGAAGAATCACAGGAAACAAAACATGTAAACTGAAGTTTTGGGAAACAGCCTTATCTGCCTTATCTTCCCAGGTCATCATTTTCATGGTAAGGTCAAGGCTGAGAAGGTGCCTTCAGTTGTTGGAATCTAACTTAGTCACAACAGGCAGAGAGACCCGAGATTTGGTAATCAGAAGTTAGGGCCATATAGACAGAAAATAAACCTTATCATGTAAGGGTGTCTGGGGAATAAAATGGACCTTTGATAATGATGTGTAAGGAGATATATGGGTTTGTGTGTGTGTGTGTGTGTGCGCGCGTGTGCATGCATGTGTAAAATCTTTGAAAGGTGTGCACAGAAACTAAAGATACAAAAACTTAGAACCCCACCCTTGCCTCTGTGCCTCCACAGTAGAAGTAAAGAGCAGGCCCACCACCATCCACCTCATACTGTGTGCAGTGAGCTTTTCTCCTTCTCTTAGCCATCAGTTGACTGCCTTTGGGCCCTTCATCCAGTGTTGGGGGAGGCTGTTGGTTCATTCCTGCCACATAGACCCAAAATAATCACACAGAAGCTATATTATTTGCGATACTGTTTTTTTTTGGCCAATAGCTTAAGCGTATTTCTGGCTAACTCATATCTTAAATTAACTCATTTCTATTAATTTGTGTATTGTCATGTGGCTCTGGCTTACCGGCATGGTTCCAGCAAGTCTGTCTCTGGCAGAAGCTACATGGCTTCTCCCTGAGTCTGCCTACTCTCTCTCTATATATATATCTTTTCCAACCTGGCTATATTCTCTTAAGCCATTGGCTGAAAGCAGCTCCTGTATTCATTAACCAATAAAAGGAGCACATATGCAATAGGACCTCCCACACCAATCTGGTGCTTACCTGTTCAGCCCCTGTGGCTTCCTCTGCACCTCTGACTTCCTCATCCCTCTTCACTGTGCTATAGAAACTTACAATTTTTCCCTAAGAAAAGGTCAGTTGCAGTCCTTAAAATTGCATCCAGATGAACTAGAGTTCAGCAAGTGTTTGATGAGTGACATGCACGGAGGGAAAAAGGGATCACTGATGGACAGGATTCCAAAGCAAGGTTGGCAGACTTTTTTCGTAACCAGCCAGATGTCAATATTTTCAGTTTTTCTGGCCACTGTCTCTCTGCTCCATATTATTTGTTTTTGTAAATAATCCTTAACAATACAAAAGCCTTTCTCAGCTCACAAATCAAACATGAACAAGTCCTGGGGTGAAATTAGCTTCCTAACAGCTGGGGACATTAAAGAAACAGGATTTAGTGACCTGAGAGAGGAAAGGGAAATGTCGTCCTGCTGAGAATGCCAGTGAGAAAAAGTGAGTTACAAACAATAGACAGGTCTGAGGCCATGCCAGTGATTTCAGCCTTCTAGTGCAGGGGAAGTAAGGCCTGCTGGGTGTTAAAAGTGAGGATGTTTTCAAAGCATAGGGTGGCTAAGAAAATAGAGATAAGGAGAACCCTGGTGAGCAACAGAAACAGCCAAAGTAGACTAAACTTATAAATCAGCCACGTGCTGTGAAGTGAGACACCGGAGACAGAAATGAGACTTGGAGCATGTGACACCTAAGAGCTATGTATGCTGCCTAACTTCCGGGTGTGCTGGCATACTAGCTCAAAACAATAACTGTGTTCCCATCTTAATATGTTTATTAAATTCTTTTTAAACAAAGATGCATGACATCATTTTGTGACTGCTTATATCAACAGTATACATTTATTACAAACCCAAGCATTTTAACTCTCATATGAGGACTGAGCCACAGACTTTGGCTCATTTTCTCATGTAAAGTAGGTTCTAGCATGTTCTCTGATTGTGGATAAAGGAATTGAAGCTTTCATAAGTTAAGAAACATACTGAAAGACACAGAAAACTCCTAAATGACAAAACAAGAGTAACCACACAAGTCTGCTGGTATCTCATTATGTTCTGCACTGACCACAAAGGGCAGCAGTTAATGAGATGGAGCCTACATGGAAGGTGTTTTCTAGTGACAATGCTGTCCTCACCCTCTCTTCTTCACCATTTTATGTTGTCCTAAAAGAGGGCACAGCTAGTATGTATCAGGGAGAACAGCAAACACATTAGATAACAATGCAAACCCAGAATTACCTCCAACTGGAGTGGTCACCAAAGAAGACATGGAACCAAGAAGAAGAGCCCCTACCCAGGTCCAGAAACAACTGTCCAAATGTGCCATCTTGGCTGTGTGGGGAAGAGAACACTCCGCAGTTTTAGTTCTGAACTTTCAGATGAGAATAAATCAGGGAGCCAGGCCACTTTTTTTTGAGGAACAGTTCAAGAACCTCATGGAGCCTCTGTGGGTACCAAATTGTAACAGGGCTAGGGTGAGAATAAATATTTCTGAACATTTCCCTGTACAATAGAAGGCAAATTAGACATGTTGCATGTGATCATGGTCAGAATTAGGAATAAGAACTAGATGTTGCAAGTAGCTGGAGTTTGACCCAGATGAGAAACTGTTCCCCACAAAGATGCCTTGGAAATGGCCCATGTCCTCTATTGCTGGGCATGCTTAGACTGAGAGCCTTCTGGGATTTCCTAGAACTTAGTCTAGATGGCCTTGTAGCACTCTTTTTTTTGCCTCCTCACAAGTTAGAAGAACACAGCATTTCTATACTTTAAAATAAATAAATATAAATTTGATTTTTTATAGAGTGCATTGATAAACTGATTAATACTCCATATGATATTCAGTAATATAAATTACAGGTACTCTGTTTAGAACGAAGGGTGTGCAAATTCCGATTTTCCACAGAACACAGCAAGATGTTTAGTGTACAAAGTTAGGCTTTGAGTCTTTCTTTGCAAACAATGTAGACTTTGTATAAAATTTTTGTCAGATGATTATACCATATGAATTCATAAAACAGCCCTGTCAATATGTCTCCTAAGTCATTCCAGGATAGAATTATTAGTAAAACTGATTAAATATTTGTAAATAAAGTGATGTAGATTAAAAGAAATGCCTTGAGGGGCTGGAGAGATGGCTCAGTGGTTAAGAGCATTGCCTGCTCCTCCAAAGGTCCTGAGTTCAATTCCCAGCAACCACATGGTGGCTCACAACCATCTATAATGAGATCTGGTGCCCTCTTCTGGCATACAAACATACATGGAAGGAATGTTGTATACATAATAAATAAATAAATCTTTAAAAAAAAAAAAGAAATGCCTTGAAAATCTCACTGATCCTAGCAAGCGGGGATAGAACTGTTTAAGGAGGAGCGTTATCAACTGACTCTAAGACACTTGCGGTGGTTATCCAGCTCAGCTCCATGGAAAGAATCCAGCTGAGAGATACAGAGTGGCAGAAGTTAATATACAAAGCAATGAAAGTACAAGCCAGAGAGATTGGAGCAGGCTGACCCAATCTGTATATGTGGGGTTAGGAGTGCGAGTACAGGGGTGCTGCCTTGTCAATATTTTTAATGCTTTATAAATATTTATAAGGTGTGTGGTATGTTTATTAATGGAGATAAGGTAACCTTTTTACCCCTTAGAAATTATGGTGAACCCTATCTCCTTTATAGGACATTTCTTCCCATTGAAAAGCCCACAAGAGTCCAAACTAATGCAAATGCTATTTTAATTCAGGCTTAAGCCTGGGCTTTGGAGGATGATAGTAACTTGCCCCCTTGTTAGTACAGGAGTCATGGTTAGCAAAGGATAGTGCCTTAATTTCTGACTCAGTGGGAACAACCTCACTGCAGTAAAGGAGGTTCATGGCCAATGCTGTATTCTAACTGGAACTGGACATACAGACCAAGACATGGGCAGGTCGCCAGCGCTCTCCAATTCCTGCCCAAGACGAGGCATAGCTGTAGTTTTCCACAGTCACCTCACAGTAAATTCCTTACTTCCTCCATCTCGGATATGTTTGAAAATGTCTAAAAGAGTTAAAATTTTCTGAGAGTGTTAAAACAACTGTTGTTGGTTACAGTCGCTCTTGCTGACCTTTCAAACAAAGTGAAAGAAGAAAGAGACATCTTTATTTGCAGTTTTGATCCTGTGACTCCTGCATGAAGCAGAGGTGTGTGACTGATACTCTCTTTACTTTTCAGGTGTAATCCCCTTCCATGGATTTTCCATGTATGGTAAGTTGGACTTGATATAGCCATCATTTTTGTTATGTTTTGGAAATTCGAACATAGTGATAATGCTTTGTATTTCACCATTCATAAAACTTAAAGTACTGTGTACATAATAAATATTAAATTCAATTTTTATGTGTGTAATTAAGAAAATTAAAAATAAAGATTGTAACTGTTGAGGTAATGATTTCTCAGCAGATGAGAATGAGAGCACACTGTGAAGTGCTGTGAGCTTTGCCATCTAATCTAATGGAATAAGAACACACTGGTAGTTAGCTCTATTATAGTAATAAAAACAGCATGGGACTGGAACAAAACAGACACACTGATTAATGGAATCAAACTGAAGATGCAGACTAAGTTCACATCCCGTGGATACCTGGTATTTGACAATGAAGTAAAAAATGCACAAATGGTGTCCATGAGACTGGATGACTACTTGCAAAAGAAAGAACAGATTCATACTCACAACCCTACACGAAACTCAACTCCATATGGATCAAGGACCTCAGCACAGACCAAATACCCTGAATCTGACACAGGAATGGCCTTGAACTCACTGGCATAGAAGGGACATCTGACCAGAACACTGACAGCTCGTCACTAAGACCAACAGGATATCACGAAGCTGAAATGCTTCTGTGTGGCAAAGAAGCAGCATACAGAATGGGCAAAGATCCTTACCAATTATATATTTGATAGAGAGATAGCATCTAAAATATATGAAGAACTAAAAATTCTGAACATCAAGAATACAGTTAAATATGAGATACAGAGCTAAGCAGAGAGTTCTCAAAAGATGAAACACAAATGGCTGAGAAACACTTAAAGAAATGTTCGACTCGCTTAGGCCTCAGAGAAATGCAAATCAAAACTCCTTTGAGATTTAATCTTCCCAGCCAGAATGGCCAAGATCAATAAAACAAATCATAGCTCATTCTGGTGAAGATGCTGGTGGGAGTGTGAACTGGTACAACCACTATGGAAATTGAAGTATGGTGATTCCTCAAGAAGATGGTAGAGTTCTATCTATCCAGAATTCAGCCATGCCACTCTTGGGTTTATGCCCAAAGGACTACCCTGCTGCAGAGAGATACTTGCTCATCCAGGTTCATTGCTACTGCATTTATAATAGCCAGAAGTTGGAAACAACCTTGATGTTCTTTGATGAACTGATAATGAAAATGTGGTATATTTACACCATGGATATTATTCAGCTGTTAAGAAAACAAATTATGGAATTAATAGGTAAATGGCTGTAGGTAGAAGAATCATCCTGCATGAAATAACCTAGACACCAAAAGACAAATATTGTATGTTTTCTCTTAAATGTGGATATTGGATTTTAAGCCTTCTCTTATGTATGTTACAATCCAAATAACCACAGAGGTTAGGGACTAGGGTAAAGAGAATCTCCAGTACAGTGTTATGAAGAGTAAAAGGGAAACTAGAATAGGAAGATTAAATAGGAAGGGGGATGGGAGAGAAGGTTAAAGAAAGGAATATGCGAAAAAACAACATTAAAGGCCATTTGAAAAGCCATATAGATACCTACTACTATAGAAGATTTCTGAAATGTACAAACATATATATTTATATGTATAAATATATTTATGTTAGCTATAATTAATTTATAGTAGATAATAAATATAAATTTGATATATAATTTAATATGCTTTAAATTATATAATATATATCCATGGATATGTAAAAGGAATATAAATGGAATCACCAAATAATAAAGGAGACAGTGTACCAACTAGACATCTTGTGTCACTAAGTAAACCCTCCGGTGCAGGAATGAATTACATCTTGTTGTTTCATTGGCCAAAGCAGCTCCATGGAACCCCCGAACATCTAGAATATTGCTAAGGCCATTGGTTGCTCTTCATGGTTTGATAAGGCCCTATTGCTGAAGAAGACAGTTAATTAAATCATCAAACATGGAAATGACTACCATTATTGTATTGGAAGGTACCCTTCACACCATCAGAGAATGCCATCCAGCTACAAGCCCTGTGATCTATAACAGTAACCTGCCTATAGTGGTAGAATAATGGCACAAATGTCATGGGAGAAACCAATTACTCTTTTTTTTTCCTTTTATGAAAATAGATTATTTTCTCACATAATTTATCTTGATTACAGTTTCCACTCCCTCTTCTTTTCCAAGTTCATCCTCACCCCCTTTTCTATCCAGATCCACTCTCTTTCTGTCTCTCACTAGAAAATAACAGATATCACAGAGGCAGAGACCCACAGCAGAGCACTGGGCTGAGCTCCCAAAGGCCAGTTGAAGAGTGGGACAAGTGAGAATATGAGCAAAGAGATCAAGACCATGATGGGGACATCCACTGAAACAGTTTGCCTGAGCTAATGGGAGCTCACCAACTCCAGCTGGACAGGAAAGAAACCAGTATAGATCCAAACTAGTCCCTCTGAATGTGGATGACAGTTACATGGCTGGGGCAGACTGCAGGGCCACTGGCAATGGCATCAGAATTTATCCCTACTGCTTGTGCTGACTTTGGGGGAACCTGTTCTCTTTAAATGGATATCTTGCTCAGCCTAGATATAGTAGGAAGGGCCTTGGACTTTTCGCAAAGCAATGTGTCTCACCTTCTCTGAGGAGTGGCTGTGGGGTGGTGTAGGGAGTAGGTGGAGGGAATGGGAGGGGGGGATGGAGTGGCTACTGGGATTGGTATGTAAAATGTAAAAAGTTTGTTTTCTTTTTTTGAAAAAATAAAATAGAAAATAACAGATTTCTAAGAGATAACATTAAAATATAATAAAATAAAATAAAAACTATCACATTGAAGTTGGAAGGAAACCAACAGAAAGAAAAGAAACAAGAAGGTACAAGAATCTGAGATGCAGTTGTTCTTGTACTCAGGAATTGAATCCATAAAACACTAAACTGGAAGCCATAATATATACACAGAGTGCCTGGTAAAGACCCATGTATGCCCTGTGCATGCTACTTTGTAGCACAAATAGTAAAAACCCAGAGACAGAAATTGGGGTTCTGCCCGAAAACCAGAAAAGCAGTCAAGCCACTAGAGAAGTCTTATGTCTAGCAAGGCTGGGCAACCGTAAACTAAGCAGTCTAAGCCTCTCTCTCCTCTCATTTTTTATTCCCTCTAGTGCTGGGATTAAAGGTGTGAGCCACCACCATCTGGGTTTATTTCTGCATTGATCTTGCGTAGCCCAGGGTGGCTTTGAACTCACAGAGATCCATCTGCCTCTGTCTCACAAATCCTGGGATTAAAGGTGAATTTCACCATTGTCTGACCTCTAAGTGACTTTAGCATTGCCTCTGGTCTTCAGACAAGATTCATTTATTAAAATACAAATAATATGCCACTATACTATACTACTTCAGTATCTATGAGTTCCTCTGAGCTTTTCTCACTCTGATTTAGAGGGCCTTGTTTTCTTGGTGTCCTCCATTCCTCTGACTCTTACACTCTTTCCAGATCCTCCTCTGTAGGGAGAAAACAACCACTTTTTGACTGGATTTAAGACTCACTCCATGAGATGGGACCCTTACTTGATACTTATTAAGTGGTCAAGAACCTGAGACTGCATAGATCATGGGCCTAGAGGAAAATCTATTACCTTATTCTGTTAAAGGAACATAGCAATAAAATAACCCCTAATGACACACTGCTATACTTCATAGATGAGTGCCTGCCTTGCTCAGCCCTCATCAGAGAAGGTTCTTCTTGCAGTAGGTGTGAATTGACACAGAGACCCACAACTGGACAGTGCGCAGAGTGCGAGACCTTAGAACACTCAGTCCTAAATAGGATGTCTCCATATAATTCCACCATTTCCTCACTCTTCTCCTTCCTTCAGTCCCTCCTATGACCACCCCCATACACACCTTGCTCTTTCTCAACTTTGTGACCTTCTTTTCTTTTTTTAAATATTTATTTATTTATTTATTTATTTATTTATTTATTTATTTATTATGTATACAGTGTTAGTTTCCATGTCTGCCTACAGGCCAGAAGAGGGCACCAGATCTCATTATAGATGGCTGTGAGCCACCATGTGGTTGCTGGGAATTGAACTTAGGACCTCTGGAAGAACAGTCAGTGTTCTTAACCTCTGAGCCATCTTTCCAGCCCTGACCTTATTTTCTTTAATTGTTGTTACATAAGTGAAGAGGAAGTCAACAGAATGGGAGACAATTTTGCCAAAGTACATCTGACAGAAGATTAATATCCAGACTATATGAAGAACTAAAAAGCAGAGTCAAAAAACAAACAACCAAAGACATATTTTAAAAAATTGGCTAGGAATCTGAACAGAGAGTTCTTAAGCTATGAAATGGAAGAATGAGAAGTATCTCCTCATTCCAGCTACATGTTTGTTTTTGTGCCAGTAGCATATTGCTCATATTATAGTGGCTCTGTAATGTACCTTGAGGTCTGGAATGCTAATCCTTCCACATTGTTCTTTTTGTTGAGGAGTTCTTTACAGAGTTTGGGCATGTTACCAGTTGGCTACATCACTAAAGAAAATGGACTATGTCTCCCACTCTATATTAAATGAATATAAATCCTCAGGAAGGGTCGGGACCTGATGAGATGGTCCCCACTCTACAATCAGATGTTGATCGTATGCATCTTATGTAGGCAAGCATAGCCACTCCAAACTGAAGAATGCAATGACCTTGTGATATGAAGAAGTCAGTGATCATCTTTACTTTCCCACTGCTTCCTGCTCCTCCGCTGTTACATTCTTTCTCCCGGTTCTTCCATGATGTTTCTAGAAACTTGAAGGGGGTAACAGATATCCCATTCATTCATGGCTGGGCAGTCAACTGTCACTCGTTTCCATCCTTCTGAGCAGCCGTGAGCATCTGCAGTTACCACTGCCTAGTCCAGAAAGAAGTCACAAGGGTAACTGGTAGTAAATTTGATAAAAATGCATTATATAATATATGAAAATGTAATGATGAAACTCATTATGAATAATTTATACTAATAAGCAAAATATTTATGATAAGAACTCTTATCTAAATCTAAGAATAGGAGGGAATGCCTTTATTCTGGTCAATAATACCTGAATATATAGCAAATATTATACTTAGCAACATTAAAAGTTTTGTCTCTAAACTGTTAAAGATACCCCCTTGGTACAGCTTGTTTAGTATAGTCCTTTGAAGGCCATAGCCAATGAAGCAAAACAAGATAAATAAATAAGGGAATAAATAAGCAAATAATGGAAAGAAAATAAAACTTCCCTTCTTATCAGATATTGTGATTATGTGCATAGAAAATCTAAAGGAATAATCAGATAATCTGTGAGGATTAATAAATGAATTTACTAAGGTTGAGAAACAGTCAATACACAGATAAATTTTCTACCTATGTGCTAACAACAAAGGTGCAGAAAATTACGTATTTTGTAGAAGCTCTGATTTAGAGAGAAAAGTGTAGGGTGTCACATTTAAGATGTGCTATGGGGTGGGCTCTTCATTTCTGAAAATCACCAAGGACACAGGAACGAAAAGCTGGTGTAACATAACTTTTTGATAAAAAACACAGACACTGAAACAAGTCTGTGTTGTAGCCTTGGATAAATATCTCAGCTCTTGTGCCTTAGTTTCTCCATTTGCAAATCTCAGATAACAATTTTAATGAATAAGTTGTTGTGATGACTGAAAAGAAGAGTGGGGAACTTCTACTCGGGAGGCTGAGGGGCAGCTGGAGCTCGGGCGATGACACCCGTCTCAGCAAAGGGGTAAGAAACGGACGGTGCTTCCCTGCTAATTCATCTGTCTGCTTATATAGCTTGTCACTTCGGTCTCAGCCAGATGATAGCTTGGGATTCTAACTATTTATAATCTGTACATGTATGATATTTAACAGTTATTTGAACTTGCAACATTAAAACACAATTTGTGCATGACCAGCAGACTCTGCTGTGTTGTGGACACTATACTCTCTCGTTTTGTGCTTTGCATTTCATGAACTTACCGAAACACTTTAGTCATGCAGTATTATCACTTACTTTCTCTTTTAGTCGCACCGCTGTGTTTTCTGTATCATGAACCGTACAAATTGTACCAGATATTTCGTGAGATGTACGTCCGCTTTTTCTTCAGACTCCACTCCATCTCCTCTCATCCTTCTGTAAGTTCATAAGTTGGATCAACTCAGACTCTAAACTGTTCTTTCCCTGAAGATGTGCCATGGGGTGGTCTCCTTAAATTACACAGCAAAAAAATTTAATTTATGGTTTCAAATAATGTATTTCTAGAATCAACGAGAGAGAAGAAAGTGATGTTTAAATATTTTGCAGAGTAGTGAGGAAAACATCTCTTATTATCTAGATTTTTAGCTTTCTGTGTTTAAAAAAAAATGGGATGTCTAGATTCTCATCCGTTACAAAGATGCCTCCCTCCTTTGTTGACACCGGGTCTGAGAAGGGAGGTTGATGAGGCCGTCTCTGCTGCTGTGGGAAGTTTACAGGGCAGAGCATGCAGGTGAGAACTGAATGGGCACTCTGCATATAAATAGCCACTTTCTTGTTTTCATTATTGCTACAGTTATTATCACTTCATCTTTTCAAATGGAAATTGAGCATTATTTGTCTTGTGGCCAATGATCAGTTATTTTGCCACATATTTTATTTGTATTTATTCAGCTCCTATATTAATAGCAGTTAAGTCTTTTGTTCTATTTTTTTACTTCTTTGTCCTATCTTTTTTTGCCTATGAGCCCTGGCAAGGCAGCCTTTACTTTTCTTTCAGCTTTCCCCTCTGTGGTCTTGGTCTTCCTAAGGGTAGCGTACCTAGCTCTCTGGAAGAACCTGTCGCTGGAAGGCAGGGCAGGCTGGCCAAACTGCCCAGTGAAGACTGTTCTTTCTACTAAATTGAACAGCTGGGTTTTATCCTTCCATTTCCAACTGTGTGCCCCTGCTCCACTTTCTTTGCCTTCAGTTTGCCCTCCTGCATTGTCAGTGAAAGCTGGCAACTAAGAAAATGCTAGAATGTCACAGATAAGCTAACAAATCATCTTGAGACTCTCTTGAAGAGAATTGGGTTTAGTTGTTATCTTCTATTTCTATTTAACCTAGAATAAACAGGAAAATGATTATTAATAGTTCTCCTTTCTCATATCATTGTCGGGATCATAGTCTTGTAGCCACACACACACACACACACTCACAGTGTGTATACACATGTATACACACACAAGCATACAAACAAGCACACAGAAACATGCACATACAGACTCCCATACACATTTTATGCCTCAGAGTTTTGAAAAAAACAATCTGGACAATACCCAGCCACACCTTCTAGCCCCGCCCCTTTCCTTCCTTCTCTGGGGAATTGACTGACACTTGTCTCATGTTCGGGATTATAGCCAGACTGCAACTATTTAAAACCATGACAGTTTAGAAACTCAAAAAAAGGGTGAAAACTTCCTTACAAAGAGCAACCTGAGGATTGCTGAGTCCCAGAAAAACTTAAGTTGCTAAGGAATAAAAACACTTAAACAAAAAACAAAATAACTTGCTTAAATTGGTTACTTCTACTTTACAAATAATGTCCCTTTTTAAAAAGTAAATTTACAAAACAAGCAAAACTTTTATTCTTAGTAACCAGATATTTTTGTTTGATAATAATTATATTTTTTATTTGATAGTAATTATATTTTTGTTTGATAATGATTAGATATTTTTTGTTTGATAACTTGGTGTGATTCAAAGAAGTGAGAAAAGCAGGCAGTGTTTTCCAAAAGGGGGAGCTGGATGTACAAACACACATGGGGAAAGAGGGACGGGGAGAGCAAAAGCACCGGGAGATGCCTGGGAACTGGAGCACATACACAGAAAACTACTTTTGCTAGACCTCAGTGATGCTGTGTGGCTCACAAGTGGCAGGCTTTCTGTAAAGAATGCTTATGTTTGCCTTGAGTGGTCCAGCCATGGCGGAGTGGGGCTGTTGTGTTTAAAAAGAGACTGCTTAGCAGGTCAACAACGCATATTTATGACAACATAAAAATTTACTGTTAAATCTGGTGTCAGAGATCCACTGGTGTGTTCTTGTTTTGATTCAATATGCATTGTCTTTTTGAATGATGTGTTACCATAGTTCGTATTTAAAAGACTAAACTATTTCTCTTTTGATTCGTTGTTGGATGCAGGGTATTGTGTCGCTCTGTCTGCTGTTTGAAACTCTTCTTCAAACCTATCTTCCCCAGCTCTTTTACCACCTGAGAGAAATCGGAGCTCAGCCGTAAGTATTTTTATCGCCTCACTGCCTCGTCACAATGCTTTCCCACGGTGAAGCTGGAAACAACACTCTTGCTCTTTGCCTGCACACACAGCCACAGTACAGACTGTACGGCGACAATTCTCCCCCCCAAAAGTACCAGTCATTAAGTGCATCTGTACTGCAAAAGAAGAAACAATTAGGTTCTTGGTAGAGGGCTGGGTACGCAGCTCGGTGGGAAAGTACTTGTCCAGCATGTACGAGCCTCTGAGTTTAGGTCCAGCACTGGAAAAAAACAATGTGCTAAGAAGAATGACTGAGATCCTATTGAGTTTTGTGTCTTGTAGAAGGACCACCAAATTCATCTAACTTTAGTTCACAATGAAAACATTTATGGAAACAAATAGAGCCTGGGAAGTATGGTACAAGTCAGTGTGAACTAGAGTTATCAGAGCCCAACTGTGCCCTTTATAAGGTTAAAGTTTGCTGGCTTCACTAAAGGGAAGAGACCAAATCCCTCCCAGCAGTTGTCCTGTGTTTTCTCTTATAGAACTTTGCATTTGCTTCACTGATCTCACTTTGAGTAGTAGGCGAATATTGGTGAATATGTGGATTAGCTCTGACCTCAGTAAATGGCTCTGTCTCCTTTTAAATACTTTCATCTAGATGAGAGCTTTGCTCTGTCCTCTCTGAGCAGCCTCACACACTGTTGAGGTTGGTCCGTGTGAAGAAAGGACACTAACTCTTTAAGGCCTCAGGACTTAATGGCAACGAAGTGTGGTTTTTGTCTTCTTCATACATAAATATACAGCCAGTGCCTGCCTTAGTAGATATAAATACAACCCAGCTGCAAATTCTATTTCTGTTAAGCTGTGCATCCAGGTAAAGTTATGTGAGCTATAAATTCATATTTATATTTAAATCAAGATATCTAGATTTCTTTATCTTAAAAGTGAAGAGAAGTATGACCTTATGGAATTGTTTCTGGGTTCTGTGAGAATAGACAAGATACAGACATAAAAGGAATTTCTCTGATACCCATTGGATCTGAAAAAGATTTCAAGTGTTATTTAAGAAACAATATTTCTTATTGTCCTTTGATAATTCAGAATTGATACTCTTTTGTGGCCTCTTTTGAAAAGTATTGTATTCTTAAATGAGACTGTAAAACAGGAATGTGGCAAAAATAGTTTGTATTGAGCTTTTTAAAGGGTCACTCACTGACCTCTGTTCACTGTTGGGAGATTAAAAGTTGGATATAACTGGGCTTTTTTTTATTGGGTTGAAGATGTTTAGTTCATTGCTAGAAAATATAGTGTTGGTAGTTGTTTTCTAGTCTACTTACACATTTTAAATTACTACAAGAATTCTACATTTAGATTTTTAGTCTTAAAATTCTTCAACAGGAGGAAGTATAAAAAGCCCAGCAGGTAGGTAGAAAATAATGTATTCTCTCTCTCTCTCTCTCTCTCTCTCTCTCTCTCTCTCTCTCTCTCTCTCTCTCTCTCTGTCTCTCTCACACACACACACACACGCTTGTGGAAATCAGAGGACAGTTTACATCAGTCAGTTCTCTTGTTGGAGTTGGTCCTGGGGATAGGGCTCAGTGCATCCCTGCCCTGCCTCCTTTTGTTGATTATTCTGCCTGGGGATTTATTAACTTTAGCCATCTTTGAAAGAATGAATTTTATGTCCTGATGTCCTGTTAAGTTTTCTCTTGTTTTACAGTTTCAGTTACTCTCATTTCTGCTCTTTCATTCTTTTTACCTTTATACTTTCTTTGGGTTTATTTTACTCTTATTTATGGTACCTCTCCTTCTCGATACAAGCGTTATTGTTAAAGATTTCTCTCAGAGTCAATTTTACCTCATTCCAGTAAACTTTTATATGGTATCATCTCATTCAATTAAAAATGTTTGATTTTCCTTTGTGATTTCCTGTTTGACCATCAAGTATATTAAAAACAGTATTGTTTAAGGAGAAATCATTCACTTTCCTATTAGACCCTTACTGACCAGCTTTCATATTGCTAGAAAGTACTATACGCAAATAATCATCAGTCTAACCCAGCTATGAACTCTGAGAGATATACCCACTGGCACAATAGTGGCACAAATGTTATAGGAGTAACCAACCCATTCTTATTGGACTTAAGGCCTGCTCCATGAGATATAGTCCATACCTGAAATTGCTAGCAGCTCCAAGAACCAGAGATAGAACTAACTAACTGTTAACAAGTCTAGGAACTAGATAGATAATAGTCCCTAGAGAAAACTTACTACTATTATTCTACTAAATGAATATAGCAATTAAATGATTTTTAATGATATATTGATATCCCCATAAATCAGTGCATCCCTCATCTCTCATCAGAGAAGCTTCTTAAAGGAAATGGCAATTAACACAGAGACCCACAATTGAACAATGTTCTGAGAATGAGAGGCTCTGGAGCACTCAGCCATTACTGGGATATCTTCATCAAGGTTCAGGGAGCTATGTGAAAAGGAGGGGGAAAGATTATAATAGCCAAGGAAACAGTGTCTTCCAGATACTACATGGCTGATACACATATGAACTCACAGTGACTGTTGACAGCATGTACAAGAGAAGGGGAAGAGGGCCCAAAGTCCTACCTATAACCAAGAAGCTATTTACAGTTGATACCTGCTGAAAGGGAAAATCGGTCTTCTTCAGTGTAATGGCACTGGGTATATCAACCATACTTCAAGATGGGCTTCATGCCCAGAAGTAGTTGACCAATCCAAAACAGACCCTATGGGTTTTATTGTTGTTTTGTGAGTTTTGTAGTTGTTTTGTATTTTGTGTGTGTGTGTGTGTGTGTGTGTGTGTGTGTATAAAGTTTTTATGGCCCAACAAACCGCCCCACCGATGCAATAATCCAAATCAGACCATGTTAATGGATGCCCTCTCTAGTGGCCTCCAGGAAAACATGGCGGGGGGGGGGGGACCGGAAGGACCACATACTTTTCCTCTGGGGGGCAGTTTAAATAGCCTGTGGGAGTGATCTTGACCTTCCCTGGGGAGGGATCACCATTTGGTAGGCTTTTTCAGAGGTGGAGTATGGACTGTGGCAACTCCCAGGGGAGGAGCCTTGGAATGGAAAGTTCCACTCAAACATTTTAGAATGGATGCCAGAGGCTGGGGTGAAGCCCCACCTAAACATTTTGATTTGGGGTTTGATGGGGTTTTTAAGACAGCAAAAGAACAGGAGTTATGTGGATAGGGAGGGAGAAGGATATGAAAAACATTTTATTAAATAATTCAAAATTGAGCTGGGTATGGTGGCATATTCCTTTAATTCCAGTACTTAGGAGGCAGAGGTAGAAAGATTTCCATGAGTTTGAGGCCAGCCTAGTCTACATAGTGAGTTCTAGGACAGCCAGGACAATGAGACACCCTGCCTTAATCCCTATCCCATAATTTTTTTAATGTGATATTATTTAATGTGATATTACTTTCCAAATATTGGGAATGTTGGAGTTTTTTTCCACTATTGCAATCTATTTATAGTCTGTTGTTAGTCAGCACATTTCATATGACTTCAGAGCTTTGAATTTTTTTAGACTTATTTTTGATTTAAATATAATCAATCAAGACAAATGTTGCATATCCACTGAAAAGAATTTATGTTCTTGGAGCAAGGAAATGGTTCTGTGTTAAAAATATTTGATATACAAGCCTGACAACCCAACCTCCCAGCCCCAGGACCTACATAAAAAACTGAATGTGATAGCTTACATCTGCAGTCCCACCACTGCGGTGGCAGCATGGGAGGCAGAAACAGAAGGCTGTACCAGACATCTTCAGACAAGCCACTCCGCTGAAGTATACAGCACAGCATTGAGAAACAGCCTGAGACCCTGCCTCAGAATGAAAGACAAGAGCCAGCTCCTAAAACTTGTTCTGTAATCATCACACACACACACACAGACACACACACACACAGGATTTGTGTCCCATAAATACTTGGCATAACTCTATAAATGTCAATAAATTTAACACATGTTGGAACGCCTTTTTTCTTCTTTTATTCAGCTCTTTGTCAGTTTTCTTTTGTTCTTAATTATTGAGCAATATTAGTCTCTATACAATTGTAGATCTCTTCTTCCTTCATTATTATATATAATTTAAATATATGTTTTAAGGAGATTTGGCCCAATTATTGTCCTTAATTATTGACCATAAATCTATTATACTAGATGCCAGTATAGCCATGATAGCTTTCTTTTAATTGCATGGTGTTTTCTATTTTAACTTAACATATCAATTATCAATGCTTTTCATTTTCAAGTACAATTCTTGTCAAAGTATAGTTGATTCTTCCCATATAGTAATCTGTCTTCTAACTGGTATGTTTATTCCACTTATTACTTAACATAATTGATATTTATTTTATTGAAATCTATCTTTCTAAAATTTTCTGTTTCCTATGCTCTTTCTTTTCATTTACTTCTGGCTACTTTAAAAAAAACTGACCTGTTTTTATTCCAGTTTATTCACACCATTCATTTTTTATTTACCCTGTTGATGAATGATCTTTGTTAGGTGTTGGTGACCACCTTCAACAAAAATACTACTTACCAGGGTAGGGGTATGGGAATCAGAAAAATAGTAAAGAGAGTGAAGATGTAAGTGAAAATAATAAAACAGAGACGTAGGACAGTGTCCAGAGGGAGATTCAGTGAGTACTGAAATCCCTGCATTTAATTTTCCATACACTTTTATACCCCAGTACGAAAGGGGGAAGAAGGCAACAAACGACTTCTTTAATATAATACAAAGGACAACTTGAACAGTTTTTTGCTTCAATACCTTGAGATATCAAGTCATTAACATTCTGTTATTTAGGCAGTGAACCCACCCTAGACCAAATATCCTGAATACAGCCACTCCCAAGATCAAACCTCCTGTTTCAAAAGAAGGAGCAGAAGTATTCTTGCAAGTCCTGGCCATTTGTCAGGGTGGATTGGATCTCCCTGTATGGCCATCTCAAAGTCAAAAGAACCAAGTAACCACATCCTGGATTAGGTTGTGTAGCCCTGGTTGTTGTCAACAATTTTGTGCAACCTCAGACTCTCTGACCTTCAGACAAGGTGGAAACAGGCTCACATTTTTGGGCCTCTGTAGGTAGGTGCCTCTTGTTCCATAGCATTTTATTAGTAAATGTATATATTCCACTTTTAAAAAAATTCTAAGCTTGGGTGTCTGAACAGCTTGAAATTCTACTGAACATTTCAGGAAGGGTTATTTTAATCCTTCTTTCTGTGGTTGCTATCAAAACTCAAATCTTTACCTTTCAGCAACTTGATTGCAACATCTCTAGACTTGGATTTTTCTGAGTTTATGCTGTTGGAGTCTGTTGATCATCGTATGAATTTATATCTGTTGTCATACTGTGGGACTTTTTGGTTAGCGGCCATCTCCCAGTGTGTTTGTGCACCACACTTACTCTGCTCCTCTTCTGGGTTGCAGTGACATCATGTCCATGCTTCCAATTTTGCTCTCCCACCCCACCGAGGTGCTTGAAACTCCCCACGTGCTTTTTATTTATGTGTCTCTTTTAATTTTTGTTACTTGATTTCCAATGACTTTTTTCTGTGGTTGAGACTAGAGACTTCTTTAGATCATATTTCTATGGATATATGCTCATCCGAGTTTTTCCTTTCTCATTTAAGTCAGACTTACTCAGTAACTTGGAGGTTGTATCATTGTGTTTCATCTTTTTCAAATAATTATTATACTATTCGATTCTACAATTTTCATCTTGTCATTCTTCATATAAAACTCATGGAACTGTATACCTGCAAGGGTAGATTCTGCTATGCTAAATTACCCCCAACGAGTTTGTGCTTTTAAAGTCATTGTTGTGTTATCTATATAAAGAGAAATACTGTTTCTTCCCCCAAGAAACTGAGAATTTGAGTAAAATGAAAATGATTTAATATAATTATTTAGATGTATTTATCAATATTAAAATATTTATGGACAAAGTTTTTGTTTGATTTTAAACCAATCAAAAGGCTTAATTTATAAATACCACTGACCAATACTTAATCATATTAAACTCTAGAATAATTCCACAAAGAATTTGACTGTGACCTCTCAGGTACAGTCAAGTGACTTTTAGATGCTCATAGACAATACAGAAATGTGAGAGGTTAATTTATCTCTTATGACGGTAAAACCAAAGGGCTCATTTTGTGATTCTGGGGAAAAGCTGTTATTGTAATATAAATAACTGATTTACAAAAGTGGGATCTCATATATCTTTGAACTTTTTGTAGCAAAATAAATTCAATTGAATTTGTTTTTATGACTTCCTCATTAAAATGAAGGGTTTGAAATAAGAATTCTAAGGTATTTATTGCTTTAAACCACTTTTCTTCCATATTTCCTACTTGTTGCTTTACTTTATTTTATCCACCTCATGTAGCAGTTTGGCTGAGATGTGCAGGTAAAACTTACTCAGCTGAGAAATATAAAAGCACCGAATGTTTTTTTAAAAGTATTCAGAACAACAATCTAAAATGCCATGGCTTGCCAAAAATTAAGATACAACTGTTGATGAGTGTAAGATGTTTATAAACATGAACTCAATCGTACACAGTTCCTCCTCTTAGTAGTTCAGAGACCTCAGATTGAAGACCCATCTGCTTGCCAGTGACCTTTTTCAGCTTTTAGGAAATAAAGAGTCTTGAAATATTTATAATAAAAACAGAATCGGTTTGATTCTTCTAATATTGCCTTTTCTGAGGAGAGGATCTAACGACACAATTAATTCTTAATTTTCTTGCCCACAGACTTCGTATATCATTTAAGTGGATGGTTCGAGCTTTTTCTGGATACTTAGCTACAGATCAACTCTTGCTTTTGTGGGATAGAATCCTAGGATACAACTCTCTGGAAATTCTTGCTGGTAAGAGTGAGTGCTTGTTTGTGAAACCCATGCTGTTTCTACATGAAGCCCCTTTCCTACCGTCATTAGGGAAGGGTCTGCGTTCATCACTGAACATTTAATAGCTTGAGCAGGCCTAGAAGACAGGTTCTGCAGTTCCGCGCTTTGATGCACCCACCTAACTTCCCTACTCCACTTGAGTCCTGGTCTCTGTGGGGTTTGTGCAGCAGATATACTTGCCTTATGCTCTAACCCCAGCTTCAGAACATTCTGTCCCGTGCCCCTCCTCAGAGGCTGAGCCCCCTGCATATCTCAAGGCATGCCTCTTCTGGACTGCAGTTTATTCTACATTCCAAACCTTTTCATTTTTGCTCGTAGTCTCTGGCTTCTACCCTGGTGCCAAAATTTCTTCTCTTAGGTATTCTCTCTTTAAAAAGTGGGGAGGGGCACTTCTTTTGCTCACGGAAGCCATAGATCATCCATTGCTAATGATTAAGCAGTTTATACAACAGATGTAAACCAATCAGACTGCGGCGTTCCACATACAGATTCCTGCTGTGGCCTGCACCCTAGTGCACAGCTGACTCAGTTCTTTGTCACTAGGATTACTAGAAAATTCAAGTAACAACTAGGATATTTTTGCAACAACATATGGGGTACAGAAAACCTGGCCATGTTTTGTTTGCTTCCTGCCTTTACTGTTAAAATCACCTCTCTGGGATATTGTAGCAATAAGAAAAATAATGTGTCAAGAATATTCTCTGGGCACCATATTAACATTTTCTGGAATGCCAGAGTCTCGTAGTATTTGGGTGACATTTGGAAAGGTGAAATTAGAATAACTATAAAGTACATGAAGATAAATGTCACCTCAGGTGCAGTCAGCCTGACATTGATTGATGCTTTAACAACTCCCAGCATCCTTCTGTCATTTTTCTTAACGCTCATATAAACTTGTTAGGGGAGAACGGTCTACCCTCATCACTTTAGCTAAAGGACAGTGGCAGATCATCTAGGAATGCAGGAATGTCAGAGAGCATCCCATAGCTTTTCAGACATTTCTGACCAAGCGTCCTTATCCTCTGTTCTATGCTTAAAGGCTAGGTAGTCCTGCCCTTTCAGAGGACCCATTTGTTTATGGTTATAGGGCCTGTGAGATGGCTCAGTGGGTAAAGGTACCTACTGCCAAGTCTGACAACCTAAGTTAAATCCCCCAGACCTACATGGTGGAAGGAGAGAACCACTGGTTGTCTTCTGACTTTTACACACATAGCACGGCTTCCATATGTACACTGTGGCATTCACACCCACACACATACATATGTGAACACACACACAAAATGAATAACATAACTTAAAATTTAAAGTGTCCCTTTTTTTCTTTTTGAAGACATTATTTGTGTGTGTGTGTGGGGGGGGGTACTTACAGACACCAGAAGAGGGCATCTAATCTCACAAAGCTAGAATTGCAGGCAGTTGTGAGCCACTCTGCTTGGGTGTTCGGAACTGATCTCAGGTTATATTAAAGAGCAGCAAGTGCTCTTAATCATTGAGTCATCTCTACAGCTCCAAATATGCCCCTTTTAAACCAAGATGTTTTCATGTTTTTTTCTGCTTTCAATCCCCCATCTTTCCCTGGAGTCTTCTATTTTCCAGACTAAGCAGTCTGGTTTTCTGCTACCATGTCACAAATGTCTGGATTTTAGACTTCACCAGGCTACTCTCTTTGGGTATTCCTGAACTTTTAAGAGCATACTCCTCATTTTCTGGTCACTCCAGAGAAGATAGTGGGTGAGCACAGGATGAGAAATGCTCTCTCGGAGAGTAACTGAGTAGCATGAGCTTTGCCACCTGGAAAGAGGAAATGTTTTCCCGTGAAGGAAGCTTTGAAAGAAACTTTCAAGGACTCTTCAGATTCCAGGTTTCCCGTTTTGTCCCTCATCACTGCCTTAGCTTAGAGAAAGGGAGAGAGAAGAGAGAAGTCTGTGGAATACTGGGTTTGCTTTCTACCAGGTACTCTGTTAGTTCATGCATGAACTAGTTCAGTGCATGGATTAAAACCAGACTGGCAAAGAGATAGAAACTGATCCATATATTGCATCCACGCACTTGCCTGAATGCTCTCAAAGCTTACAAGATTTTTAGAACATCTACAGATAAAATTGGAGTGTTGGAGCTCCCAACCTTGGAATTCATGGAAAAGTCTATAATAATAGATCACTTCATGAAGAGATACACAGATTTCTATCAATTATGTCATATAGTTTTGATACAGGTATTTAAGAGCCACCTTTTAACATCAAATATGTTATTATAGAGTCTTAAGAAATCTTTTCATAAATACATCTGTCCTTAATTATGACTGGCAGACCACTAAAGAAGAGCTGAAGACAGAGGCATCTTGATGTCATGATAGAGTTTATTAAGATTAAAGTAGTGAGAATAGTTGTGAAAACCCACAGTGAACACAGCCGTTTCCACATTTCATATGCAGCATGGCTTCAGTTAAGGATGCCCCAAAGTATAGCTCCTCTCTCCATGGCAAATTGTTCCGTACAGAGAGGCTGGACAAGCTCAACATGAAGCCAACAGAAAGGCACTTGTGTGATGTGACACCAACATAAATAAAGGCTATGCGCTCCCATTCGGATGCTGAGTTCAATCAGTGGACTTCTCTACCTTCGGACACACAGCTGGCCACCATCTAGAACTCTTTCCTGCTGCAGCAAATATTTGGACATCCTGTCAAACTTTCACAGCTGCTCAACTATATACAGAAATGAAAGTGAGAGTCATATTTCTTAGCCTCTAAAGTGTTTCCACTGTCCAAAAATGATTCTAGATAGTGGGAAGCAGTAAACAATTGTTAGCCTACAGAAATGGATTTAATACTCCTGTAAACATCATGTTCCGTGACTTTACATTCCTTTTTAACTCTTTTCAGCTAAAGAGAAAGAACGCCCTTTGATCCAGATCTCTTAATCCCTTTTTCATGTTTAATAGTTCCCGCTGATTCATTTTAATTTATCTTCAGATTTTCCCCGAGTTTTCTGCAGGGTTTTCTTTTCTGTCTCATTATAATGCTCTTGCCAGACATCCCGAAAGTCTCTCATCTGCACGCAGAATGCCTGAGCTCCCCTGCTTGCACTGCTCTTTTCATGGGGTGAGTTGGAGACCTGGACAGCAAGAGCCTGATTCCACTCCTCAAGCACAGCCTTCCTGACAGGGCCCTGGACCACCACGGGCCACGTCTGGAGTCTTCTGAGGCACAGCAATGCTGACCCTCCCTAAGAGAGCACAGTCTCTGATGTCAGGGCCGAGTCCTACTCCTTGCCTTTGAACTCAATAGGGAAATCATGCAAGGGTCATATGCACAGGACTTAGAACCAGGCTTAAGTATCAGCTCTGTTTCTCCCTGTGACCAGAAAGGACAGCCAGCTCACCATGCCTCAGTTCCTACACTAGCAAAATGAACTGGATAATAGTACTTAATTCTCGGTGGATGGCGTGAAAATTAACTGCCATGGTTTTCCTCATAGTAAAATCGTATAAAAAGGTTTGTGTTGGCTATGCAATGAACCCGAGAACCAGCCTTCCAAATCATGTTTACCTCCCGCTTCAGTGCTTGAAGGGTAGGGAGTGCACTACCAGCTAAGGCCACGGGGAAAAATGGTAGAGTCAGGGGCTCTATCCAGGCAATTCTATTTTCTCACCAGGGTTGCCTGTCTGGTAAATGGGTCCTCACTGGCTGGGAGTTTCATGGTCACTCCTATATTGATAGAGTGCGTGCTTGTTAACAGAAACAGATGGTCCCAATGTTTCTACTTAATATCTGTTACTAAATTCAAATTGTCTATATGCTTTTGAATTTTCAACTTATTTTTCTTGTAGCTAACAAAGTAAATACTAAGATTAGCCTTACAACAGCCCTCTGTGTAGAACTAGCCATTTAGATAGCGCTATGAAAGTCAATAATGAGTACACAAAGATATAAATATAACAAGATATTGTAAGTCACTTTTAAACAGTTTTACACCCACGTTTATATTGGGACACCTCCCTCAAACACACGAGTTTTTAAAATTTAACTTCATGTGACTTTTTGAGGCTTCTCAATTTCATATACTAGAAATATCTGTGTCAAAATGAACTGACTTGAAAGACCACCCTTAGAGCACCATTCACTTCAACAGTTACAGTGCTATTTGCTGGTGTGAAGGAAATTGTTTGTTTATAAATGACTTTTTGAGACCACCCAATTTTCCTTCCCCCAAACTATGGGACTCACTCCGTGAAGTGGCTCTGCGCTGTTCTCTAGACTAGATGTCCCACTTAGGACGGCTCCTTAGGGCAGAGGGCAGGGGAACAGCTGCACTGCACGCTCCTTCTGCTTTGTGTGGTGGCTGTGGCAGAGCATGTGTGTCCGGGCTGCTGAGGAGGCCAGCAGTTGACATAGTGCGCATTCTTTTCCAGTGCTGGCAGCTGCCGTGTTTGCTTTCCGAGCAGTGAACCTGATGGAGGTGACATCACTGGCTGCAGCTGAAGTAAGGATAAGTTTCACTGCCATGGGATGGAAATAGCTCCCGAGAGGCCGCCAGGCCATCGCTCTAGTGTCTGGTGCATAGGACACGCACTTCTTGTAGCTGAATTTTGTAACTCGGGTAAAACCTATAAATTCTGAGTTAAGTATTATTAAGTGCTCAAATTTCCCTAATCACTTGAAAACAACCTTCTTATGCGGGGTCATAAACAAGATTCTTTCAGGAAACCATTATAACCATTATGGAAAACCAAAGACCTAGTGGTTTTAATGGGAACCTATAGTACACTTTCTTTGCCCATGTGTTACAAACAAGAACACTAACTGAAAGAGTTAAATAGTATGTGTTTGAAGGAAGTTCTCACCATCCAAGCTTTGGGTTCTTTTCAGGGGTGAATTAACGATTTGAAGCTGGGTTTCTTCTCTCCTTCCTTCCTTTCCTGCCATCTGTGTGTGTTCGTGCATTTCAGAATTCAGTCATGATTCCTACTGATACTCCACCGTATTTTCTGTTCGTGCCATTTTCCCCCTTGACAATCACCTTCATATAAGTATGTAGTGAATTTAGGGAAGTTTCAGCCACATGATTCTTACTGATACTCCACCGTATTTTCTGTTTGTGCCTTTTTTTCCCCTTGACAATCACTTTCATATAAGTATGTAGTGAATTTAGGTCAATTTCAGCCACATGATTCTTACTGATACTCCACCGTATTTTCTGTTCGTGCCATTTTCCCCCTTGACAATCACCTTCATATAAGTATGTAGTGAATTTAGGTAAGTTTCAGCCACATGATTCTTACTGATACTCCACCGTATTTTCTGTTTGTGCCTTTTTTTCCCCTTGACAATCACTTTCATATAAGTATGTAGTGAATTTAGGTCAATTTCAGCCACATGATTCTTACTGATAGCCCACCATATTTTCTGTTTGTACCTTTTTTTCCCCTTGACAATCACTTTCATATAAGTATGTAGTGAATTTAGGTCAATTTCAGCCACATGATTCTTACTGATAGCCCACCATATTTTCTGTTTGTACCTTTTTTCCCCTTGACAATCACTTTCATATAAGTATGTAGTGAATTTAGGTCAATTTCAACCACTATTGTTACCTTGTCTCATCCCTCTCTGTCTCTTGATAAAATCCTCTTTCCCATTAATCAATACCCATGCTTCTTACTCCCCTCTCCCACCGTGTATGTGTGATCTTTGGGGTTTAATTAGGGTTGCTTTCGTGAGCTTGGGTATAAGATTATTTACTGAAGCATGGTCAACTTATCAGCTACTACACCACTGAGAAAATGAGCCCCTTTTCCATCATCCATCAACTATTGGGAACTCTCCAGACTGTGAGGACCTGGTGAACCTCTCCCCCATGCAGAGTGGAATTGTGACAGGCTTAAACTTGTGTAGGCCTCATGGAGAGAACCACAACTGTGTGAGTTCATAGGGGCAGTGGCCCTGTCTTGTCCAGAAGACACAGGCTCACAACCTCCCACCCAGTCCTCTGCCTCTTGCATTTTTTCTGCCCTTCTTCCACTATGTTCCTGAGCTTTAGTGGAGAACTGAGTACTTGACAATCGCCTGTTCTCAGCACTTTGACCAGTTATGAGTTTCTTCATTAATTGCAGCCTGCTGCAGAAAGAAACTTCTCAAATGGGGGGCTCAGACTAGCACCAGTCTATGGGGCAAGAGCCCATGCAATGGGCTACTTGCAGTCCACTCTTGTTGGGGGGTGGGTGTCAGTCTTCTCTGTGGTGTAACCACTGATAAACTTTAAAGTTGATTTCTTTCGGTGCTAGAGTTTATACCTGAGATATGGTTCAGCCAGATAGTGCCTGCCATGGATGTATGTGTTATTTCTCAGAGAGCTGTGAGTCTTGTCCTTCAAATAGGCACCTACATGTTGTGTCTAAAAGGAAGAGGATGTTTCTGTGTCGTGCAACTGAGTAAATATTAGCCGCATCTCAACACGATTCCCTTCACTCAGTCACTCTCTACACTAGAGTAACGGGTCTAGGGTTCATAATGGAGGTTTATTAATAGACCCAGGCTGAAATGCTAGACCTTCTCTAAACTCTCGTTGCCTGTGATGTGAGGAAGGTGCAAGGCTGAGCTCAGTTCTCTTCTTATGTGCATTTTAAATTGTGCACATGTTCAGAGACTCCAGGAAGGAAGTGTAGCCCGTGAGAGACTGAAGCCAGCTGAAGAACTGAGAGGGGCTCACCGCCAGGCTCACCCCCAACAGGGGTTTATGTGGTGCTTGATTTGACAGACTTTGGTGTTAATAACTTCTTTTTGGTTTTTTTGTTCCAGGCAGTTCTGGCTGACCTTTCTACTTTAAAAGTTATGCCTCTTCTTCAAATTTTTCTGTTTGCCACTGTCACCTGATCATCGAGGTCACTGACAGCACATCTCGTTTTTCATTAGAAACTAATCATGAACTATGCAAACTCTGCATACAACCAAAACTAAACGTTGCATATAAGCCAATAAAGATCATGTTCCCTCCTCAGTTAAAGCTAAGAAGTTTTTCACTTTTTGAAACAATAACCCTTCACACCAAATACTGCGCTTGCATGCTGATGACTGTCAACAGAGAAGCAATAGACATCTCTTCTACTGAACCAAGCATCCTACATGCACAGATTCCTCACTTGTAACGGGCACATACCATATATGCAATAAGAGCTAAAGGCACTATAATAAACGTCAAGAGGTAGCACAGCTTCTTGTTAATTTGTAAACTTCTCCCTAGATATAGTTCTATTTATCAATTGCTCCCCACTAAAGCCAATGATGGGATAGGACATGAAAAGGCTTGGAAGCAATCATGCATTTGAGTGGGAATTCAATTGTGCTTTGGTACTGTTAATTAGCTTTTAATTTATGATGGATTTTCAGATCCTTCCACTTTATTTCTCCATTAAATATCTCCATTTGAAAATTTATACAGATATCTCCATCCCATACTTTTTGGGACAGTTTTATATAGCCCAGGCTGTCCTCAAACTCACTGTGCAGCAGAGGATGACCGAATTCCACATCCTCCTGCCTCCATCTGCCAAGTGCTGGGATTGCGGGTGTTTTGCACCACTGCCTCCATCTTATAATATCTTACTCTTCACGCTGGAAGTCAGAAATGTATAGAGGGCTCCCTTTGCACTCCCTAACCTTACGTCTTTCACATAGAAGCCTGGACACTGCTGAGGCATGGTGCCAGAGTCTGTCTCCTTGGAAGAAGGATGAAAATCACATTGGCTATGCTGAAGCTCAGTCCTTCCAGATTGACTTGTGGAGCAGAACAGCTCAGAGACACAAGTGTTCCTTCATTCTAGAACTGAAGCCAGTATTCAAGGGATTGGGTCCTACTTAGTGTTCATTATGAGCAAAAGTTTTGTTTTATATTTCTTTAAAGATATACCATTTCAGTATATGGAATAATAGGATGTGAAAAAATATTGTCTTCTAATTTTAGATGAAAGTTGAAGATGCTAATCATTTTAATAAAACTCAAATAAACCAATAGATTGATATTCTCCTTATCTGAAATTTTATTAAATCTCATCAAATGTATCTTAGGAATCTTATTTTCACAGCATATCTTATTAAATTCAACATAGTAATTCAAGTGCAGTGAAATTAAATTAGATATGAAGAATTTACTGAAAAATCTAAATTCTCTTATTCATCAGTACTTCCTGACTTACTGAAGACTAAACAATTTGTTCTGTGATTGATTCTTAACCAACCCACATGTTTTTGTTTTTGAAAGGGGCACATTCATGTCATATGCCTTGCTGATGTCCATGTCCAGATGCACCTCCGTGGAGGGACAAACATGACTCCAGGCCTAGTGCCCCTCCCTTTGTCACAGTGGCAACAATAGTAGGAAGAAGTTGCATTTTAAATGATTAGTAGATGTTTACAGACATGCCCATCTTTAAACTTTTTAAAGATGATATGAACTCACTAGTTAGAGACATTGCAGTTGTCTGGGACACTAGATTAGGGACCTTTGCTCATACTATATGTTCCTAAATAATTAGATCTCTGTTATTGGCAATTGAGAGGGAGACCAGACAGATGATTGAAAAATATTGTTCCTGCTGTGTTTGCCTTAAAAAATTGTAAAGGACCCATGAGAAAATATACCTGAAAGTGATTTTTAATGTAAAATATCGATTCCATATGTATTAGTTTTTATGTGACAGTTTGATGTCAACAGCTGGAAGGTAACATATGAAGAATGCCCGCTTCATTGGCATGCGTGTTGTATTTCGTGACAGCTTGAGATTATGTCAATTGAGAAACCAATCATTACCTGATAGATGCTTTCATTCAGTGTGCTCGGCTCTGAATCTTAGTCCCAGACCAAAGCTGCTAGGCAACTTCCCACTTTGCCACTCTGGCAAACCCCATCCAGCTGCCCTTAGCTGCTGTGAAGCACTACCAAGAGAGCAGTCAGGTCATCCTCCTACTCCTAGCAGGGCCTCTTGAGACCGCCTCACCTGGCCTTCCACCGGCATATTCCCCTGTGCCATCTCCGATCAACCACCAACGCCCCCTTCCCTTCTGCTCGCCAGTGACACAGGGCTCTGGGAGACTAAGGGTGCAGGGCTAATGGTCATAGACAACAGTGAAGTAGCTTCGCAGGCAAGTTGTTTTGGTTCTTTTGAACTCAGTCCACTACCATGCACCACAGCTTCGTGTCTGGAAGAGCCCATTCGACCATCTTTGGATCAGGATGCTCTGCTACTGCAGCTTCCTGGATAGGAATGCCCAGCTTGACTTAACTGCCTAGGGCTTTCTGCTCAGCCTGGGCTCTCCTCCCACTCCAGAGGGAGAAGAGAGACCTAAGCTTGTACCTTCTCTGCCCTCTAATCCAAAGTTTAGCTCGGTCCTCATACTTCATTTCTTCCTTGTCTCAAGAAGTCTCTACAGCTCTCTAAATGCTGATCCATTTGAGTTATTCCTGTGCTTACAAAGTTTGACTCCTTGTTGCTTAAAGATGAAGTCCCCACTCATAAGCATAGAATACTTCCTGATAGCCTGGACTTTCCATTTCCTTGTCCCATGATGAGCCATTCCCATACACCTCAACTTCAGCAGAAGCCTGATCTTCAGCCCCTTCTGGCTGTTTTGTTTATTTTCCCTCTGCATAAGGAACTCTCATATTCCAGGCCCCACTCAGAAAAACTCCTCTGTCGCTAACATATGCTGCATCCTGCACATTAGAATTATTTCTGTGTCTTTGCTCATCCATTTATGTGCTTGTAACAGTAGGCATTCTTCAGGCAACTGGCATTAACTTCCTGGCTGCCCAAGTCATAAGAAGAGATTGTCTACATGTTTTTGCATTTCTTGAATTGTTCCAAAATGGGATACATTTTTGTTAAACACAAATATCTAGTCTCTCTTCTTCCACAAAGGCTTCTCCTTGCAGTTCGCCTCTTCTCTGTGTGCTTCAGGCCTCACAGAGTCCTTCACCCAAGTTCTCTGGGCTGGCCAAGCAGTCACATGTGCCGTCCCACCGGCCATTGAATGGCTTTGAGATCAACTCAGAGTCTAAGACCTGTGAGAGCTTGGGACACTTTGTTAGAGAACTCTGGTGTAAACTTTCAGGGAAACTGACTGTGAGAAACAATGTATCACATGGAAAGAAGAAAAGCTGCTCTCGGTCTTTGTGGATCCCCAGAACACACCCCAGTGGGCTCCATAGACCCTTCTGTACATAAGCTAAAGGATTTTTATTTGCAATAGAAAGGATCCTGACTTCTATGATTACTTTCCTTTGAGGGTTGAGATCCAGTAGGTGTAGAAACCCCATCTATACACTGTTCAAACTGGCGTAGAACTTCTAAACTTCTTCAGTCAGGGCGAAACTGTGGCCTTATGAGGATAAAGCCTATGTTCCGTGCCTACCTGATGTACCTTACAAGGGTCTTTGACCTTTGGCCTTTTGTCATATAGCTCCATCACTCTGAACGCTTTCTCTTCTCTTCTCTTCTCTTCTCACCTAACTCTAACTTGTACCTCAAAAGCTAACTCAGGTGCTGCATCATCAGGAAGAATGCTCCTCATACCCTCAATCAGCCCAAGGCGTGCTAGCCAGTCTTCGCTTGTCTTTCTTTTCTGCTCCGTGGTAACTCCTTGAGGGCAGTGGTCTCCTTTCAGCTTTTCATCTCTAGCACCCAGCATAGTCCTTGCCCCACTAATGGCTTAATGTGTGTTTGCAGGTGAATGTGTTATAAGATCATCTAATTTGTGCTCACGTTACCTATGACGAGGAACGTTGTTCGGAGTGATAACTTGCCCAGCCACATGTAGCCATTTTACCTTTAGTTTCCTACTGAGGAAGTTTCAAAGGGAAAAAATTACTGCCTCTTTTTTTTTATTTAAGTGAATATGTATACAATAAAGCTGTACATATGTAAGGTAGAGCTCGCTTTAATTGTACATGTACAAATGTACGTACCTACGTCACCACTTTTGACAATTGTGTGCAGAATGTTTACATTTCCCTTTGTCCCCTCCTATTGAGACCCCTGCACACTCACGCCTGTACACTCACTTCAGTCACAGAACTGGGGCTAGTCCTAAAGAGCAGGGTCTTTTTTCTAGATGTCCCCCTCAGCCCTCTTTTGTTGGGCTTGCTGCACTTGCTCTCGCGTGCTGACAGTGCTGAGGGACAGGTATGGTCAAGTGCACATTTTCATAGGGACAGGCAGCTCCCTTCCCCCAAGGCAATTGCTGGCAGTTCATTTCCGGGCCATGTGTAAGCATTTGTTTACTTTTCTAAGAAGTCACTGAGTTCCTTGTGAGGTGATTCCACCATCTTACATTCGCACCAACACCTTAGTTGTGGTGGCTCCAGGTCCTGGTTGTCACTGTTAGCTAAGCTATCAGAGGCCATTCTCTTCCCGTTAGTTCCCCAGCTAGGTAGAACAACATCTTATTCTGCTCAGTCTTTTGTCCGTGTGAAATGAAGGACCTTCTCATAACACTGTAGGACTTCTTTATTGTGGATGTAGCTTAGAAATCCCATTCTGTGGGTTATCCCATATATTTTTTAAATTATTCCTTTTTTCTTTTAAATTTTTAAATAAAAGTTTGCTTTCATTCATATTTACATGCAATTCTTTATTTTCCCACACAGAGTACTGAATAAACTATCTTTTTCAAGAGCAAAAACTTTAATTTTATTGAAATCAAATTTACCTACTTTTTTTCTTTTTTGCATACTATCTATAAAATCTTTGTTTAACTCAAAGTTACACATATTTTATTCATATTTTCCTCTATAAACTTTATAATTTTGCTCATTCATTTTGGTCTATTGTTTTTAAGATTTTTTTTAGTGTGTGGTAAGTTAGGGCTGAGGTTCATGTTTTCACGCTGGACACCCACCATTCGCTTAGCAGACCACTTTCCCTTCTACATCAGACCTCTACAGAGGCAGGAGGAGCTAGCTGGTGTCAGTACTTGATTTTATTTCCTGTGGAATTTTGTCTGCCTTCCTGTAACAGCATAACATCTTAATTTTTGTGGATCTAGAGCAAGTCTTGGGATTGACAGTGTAACTGTTCACTTATGTCAAAATTATTTAAGATGTTTCAGTATTGTTGCTTTTCTAAATAACTTTTAGAATCAGCATTTCAGTTTTCCACAAAAGAGTTTGTTAGGATTTTTTTAATAGCATTTGCTCTATAAATAGCTTTGGAAACAATTGATATCATAATACCGAGTTGTCCAATCCATGAGCACAGTAAATCTCTCCATTTACTGAGTGTTTTTTTTTAATTTTCACTCAATAATATATTGTAGTTTTGAGTGAGAAATTCTTGCACATATTTTGTTAAAATTATCCCTAGTTATTTCTTGTTTATTTTACTGTAAATTATATTTTTAACTTTCAATTTCTGATGGTTTGTTGTTAATATACAGAAGTACAACTGAATTTTCATATTGACCCTGTATCCTAAGACCTTGAAAAAATACTTCTGTTATCCTTTTTTGTAGCTTCCCTAGGATTTCCTACATATATAGTATATCAACTGCAAATAAAGATAATATTGCTTCTTTCAAATCTTTGTGCCTTTGGTCTTTCTCTCTCTCTCTCTCTCTCTCTCTCTCTCTCTCTCTCTCTCTCTCTCTCTCTCTGTCTCTCTTCTCTCAGCCATGGACTAGAACCTGCAGTAAGTTACAAGAAAAGTTCTTCCTGAACATTTCAAATAATCTCTCTCCATGCCATGAACAAAAAGAAATAACGAGCAGAAGGAACTCAAAAGAGGAAGAAGAGAACCAAGTTCACCAAATGAGTGGAAATAGCCCAGTCTCCCTCCTAGTGCCATACCAGAGCAGAGAATGAGCATTTTCTGTGTAAGAAGTGAAAGATAATGAAAAGAGCTGAGTGTGTGTAAAGACAGATACTTTGTGCAGGAGCACAGCTGACTAGACTTCATCTTAGTCCCCAGCTCTGTCAGCTCTGGATGATGCCAGGCTGGTTCAAGCACAGAAATGTGGTAAGGCAC